GGGAAAGAGGTACACTCATTCCCCCTGTGAAAAGAAAAGAGGAAAGAAAAGATAGTAAAGTAAAAGGGAGGGGAAAAGAAAAGAAGGAAAGAAGGAAAAAACAAGAAGGAAGGAAAGGAGTAAGGAAGGAAAGAACACTTTTTCATCATTAAGTTCTAGAATTTCTTCAGAGGGTCATGATCTTCCGATTGTTTGTGCCCACATAGCCCCCATAACCACACAATTGGTCAAAAAGAGATTAAACTGCATTTAGTGAACATCATTAAGGTGGTGATAATTTTCATGCATTACTATACCTGTGTAAATTGATAAAAAATAAACTTTTGTAAAGCATATTGATAATATATATCCAGGGTTTCTAAAAAGTCTCACATTCGGGACCAGCAGTTGGCATAATGGCTATGTCGCTAGACTCCCATGTAGTCGACCGTGGTTCAAGTCCTGGACCTGGTGGCTTAAACTCATGCCGGGCGCATGTGCATGTGTGCCCAAGATCCTGAAAGGAGAATGGAGAAGAAGGGATTTCAGGTGGCCATCCCCCCTGGGGGGTGATTTCTCGCTTTTTGTCTCTCTGTCTCTCTCTGTCTTTCTGGCAAGCACATGTTCCCTATAGCAAAAATCTATCCAAAACAAATTTTAAAAGGCTCACATTCTTTGACTCAGAATTTTATTTCTTGGAACCTAGCTCAGATTTGTTAAAAACAAAAATCATGAAGATAATAACCACAACACCACTTATAAATTGAAAGTTGATATTTCAATACCATATATTCGAATTTTAGAGGATTTGCTAAATGATCTACTACAATATTTTGTTAATTAAAATTACAGATACAAAGGTCAAATAAAATATGAGAAATTGCTCTTTTAATGAAGTTTAATGAAAAAATCAGCATGAAATTTTTGTTTATACTTTGATTACAACTGTTAAAATATGAATGTGAGAAAAGAATAGAGAAACATAATCTAATACTATAAAATATTAATCATGATTGTTTTAAGTGAAGATATTATACTTTTTTATTATTTTCCATTTTCAAAACTTATTTATAGGTTTTAAGGTGCTTCATCTCCTGTAAAGTGTTTTAATTTTGAATGGGAATAGTGCTTAAGTTACACTGGAATTTTAATGGAAAACTAAATTTAATACTAAAATGGGTTCAGGTAGATGTTTATTATATCTTATGATTATTTTTATTTTTAAACATGTAACATTTTCAGAGTGTTTGGTCTTACACTATTTGGGAAAATAAGACTACTTAGAATGGCTTTTGCATGTTCTACCTAATCAAGTATTTGCTGGGAGGCAAAACAAAACAAAACAAACAGAAAACAAAACAAAACAAAAACATGTTTCTCTACTGACTGTAATTGCTACAAACTCTAATTGCTATAAAACAAGACCGTATCTGGCACGTGTGTGCAGATCTGGAATTAACCATTTTGCTGGGCACTTTTATTTCTCCTCTTAAGTATTTCCAGTATTTGTGTCATATTATTGCCATAATGCTGGTGGTGGCAGTTCACATATACAGAGGTATAGTTCAGATTCACTACACTTTAGTACTAAGAAGGTCCAAGTTTGAAGCATTGGGCAAACTTTTCCTATCCAATGTTACCAAGACTATAAACCCAGCTGCATACCATTTGGAAAGGTCTACTTGTTGTGTAGGTTAGTAACTCATTGACATGACCCTGTAATAATCTTTCTGCACATCTGCCTCCTTACTAATCTGGGTAACATTAGTATTAAAAAGTCCAATTATTCACTTAGAAGGTCTTCAGGGAGAGGCATTTGGCAGAGACTACGAAGTCAATGAGTCAGAGTAGGTATTTTGACTGGAGAATTGGGAACTCATGCCATCATGTGAACAATAGCCCCCTCCTTACTCCATCCCCCTAGAGTTGCTCAGTCATTAGGCAAAGAAAGCTGGTGACCTTAAATTCTTCAGTTATTTTTTTAATTCTAGCCTAAAACATCAGATTAGTCAAGGTTATGTCCTTGATAGAGTTTTCAATGTTTCGCAAAAACTTATAGGCAAGAAAGTTGAAATTACTGGCTAAAGTAAGATCTAAGTTGTATAATCACCTTCTCTAGGATGGCATTAGATTGGTATTTCATTAGTGTTGATAACTTTAAGTTCACTCCCCACATACTTTACGTGTTCATCAAGTATTTTTAAAGATTATATGTGCTTGTGAGTGTGTGAGTGTGTGCACTTGTGCCAGTTTTCATACTCTCCTAGATTAACACTGTGTCTGTCTCATTGCCTATACTCAGTGCTATAGGAACTTTCGCAAATAAAGTTCAGATTTGGGATAACAATTGGGACAACAAAAAAGGTAATCTTCTACATTAATATTCTTCGATATTCTGTATAAACAGATGCACTAGTGGGGATATCTTGACTGTGTCTATTGTGTCTTCTTGGGTAAATAGGGAAGTTTTCTAGGTTACATACCCAAGAGAAACATGGTTGGGCTATAGGGCATGTGCATCATGTTCTTTATTGATATCAACAAATTATTTTCCACAGTTATTATGCCAATACACACATTACCTAGGGTGCTCCTCTCAATTTTAAAAACAAAATCTTTACATATTCTTGACATTCATGTTTTATCTTTGTTTGATTTCCCCACCAATTGGTTTTTCATCCTTTCTACCATCTCCCTTTGCCAAGTCATCGTGGCCAAGGAAATCCAAGGCCAAGACAGCCCAGGTGAGGCTCTTTACTTAAATACCTTTCCTATGGAGAAGGGCGCCTGGTCCCTCTAGTCTGGGCTGAGGAGAGTTCTGGTAGGCTGAGCCCACCTCCCATAAAAATGAGCCAGCATGGGGACCAGCAGTTAGCGTAATGGCTATGTTGCTGGACTCCCATCTAGTCGACCGTGGTTTGCATCCCAGACCTGGTGGCTTAAAACTCATGCCGGGCGCGTGTGCGTGCGTGCCCAAGAGCCCGAGAGGAGAAAGGAGGAGAAGGGATTGCGGCGTGGCCATCCCCCCTGGGGGGTGAGTTCTTGCTTTCTGTCTCTCTGTCTCTGTCTGTCTGGCGAGTGCACGTGCCCTATAGCGAAAACCTCTCCAAAAAAAAAAAAAAAAAAAAAGAGCCAGCATATTTAACTTCTATATTGTTGAAACTATATATTTCCCAATTAATAGTTTATCTTTATATTTGTTGTGATACATAATTTTAATTTTAATTAGTTATTTTAAGTCTACTTTTTGTGTCTTATTTAAGCAATTTCTTCATATCCATAAAAATTTCATGAAGAATTCTCTTCATAAAAATTCTCATAGTTTGTTTCTAAAGATGTGCAAGCTTTGCTTTTTCATATTTAGTTCCTTTTTTTTAATAAGATAAATTTTTGCTACAGGTCGAGAAAGCTTGCTGGAGAGACAGAGACAGAGAAACAAAAAACGAGAAATCACCCCCGCCAGGGAGGTGAGGGGATGGCCATGCTGCAATCTCTTTACTCCATTCTCCTCTCAGAATCTTGGGCATGCATACCCAAGTGCATGACATGAGTTTTAAGCCACTTGGTCCAGGAGTCAAACCATGGTTTACCATGTGGGAGTCCAGTGACATAATTATTATACCATCTACTGGTCCCAGTTTCTTTGTATTTTAAAACATACTTACTAAAAAATCTCTCTATCCAGATAGATAGTTCTTTTATTCATCTAAGTAAGTTTTTGTGAATATTGTGATTGAATATCTAATTTACACTCTCATATCAGTATATCAATACTCAGTCATCTCAGCATGATTTAATAACTAATCTGTCTCAGAATGTCACAGAGTAAGTTTTCATAAATGCATAGGTCTGCTTCCAGTTCTGGCTCAGTCTCATTGGCCTATTTGTCTTCCTGTAAACTAATATCACACTGTTTTGATTATCTTATAGTGTAATTCTTGATTCCTTTCTTTCTCAATTTTTACTGATTATTGTGTGCCCTTCATTCTTCCATATCAATTTTTAAAATAACTACTTATTTAATTTGATTTGTTTATTATTATTATTATTATCTTGCCTTCCAACCAGCCCCACACACTAAATATTGTCACTCCCACAAAGAATTTCCCTGTGATGTAAGAAAGTGACGTAGTGGAATAGGAAGTGAAGTAGAGAAACAGCATGATTGGTTGCAGTTTGCTGTTTGTCTATTTGAACATAGTTTAAACAGTAGGCTGTGTGTGACTGACAGAAGCAGGGCTGTTGTGACTTAGCTATTGATTAAAGAAACAAGCTCCTAAGATAGGTTGTGTTATGTTTACAACAACTCAAGTATGTGAGTACAGAGGCATTCTCAGGCCAATATAGCTTGGTTTAATGAAAGTGAACCATCATACTCATTATCTTGGTAGTTCTTTTTTTTTTTTTCCATTCAATCACTATGTATTATTACAGCATACCAAAGGAATTTTCCCATCCTGAATATGTTATACATTGGTTCAATCAAAGATATTACCATACATATTATCATAAACAGATAATTTTCCATGTTTGTGTCTCTTAAATGTTTTGCTTTTTCCTTTTTCCCCTTGATCCCCTCCCTCTCACCCTCCTCTTCTTCCCACCCTCCTCCCATACTGCCTCTGGAATCCACAGTTGCTCTCCTGCAGTCTGTTAGTTTCTGCCATAGGCTTGGTAATCTTTTATTTTTATTTATTTTTTTTAGAGAGAGAGTTTTGCTATTTGCTATAGGGTACATGCACTCGCCAGAGACACAGAGAGAGACAGAGCTAGAACCACATTTCACCGTGAGAGTCCAGCACCTTACCACTCCATCTTAACAATTGATGTTAATTATATTTGCAAAGATTCTTTACATATAAGGTAACATATTCAAAGATACCCAGAATTAGCACACTGACATTTTCTGGGGGCTGGGGGGGACAGCATTATTCTGCCCACTGAATGACCAGTTAACTATTATTTGTTATTATTAGTTAAATTCAGCTTAGGTCCGCCAACGTACTTCTCAGGTTCTTTGCTCATTGTTGCTTCTTCCTTCCCATGCATTTTTTTGTTGTTTCATTTTGCTTGTTGCTTATAAATCTTTTCTGGCCTAGCTGTAGTGGTGCAGAAGATAGTACACCACTCTTCAACACTGGAGCCACAAAGAAGCCCAGAGTGAAGATTCCAGGTTGACCTGAAACACAACAGTTGTACACATGTTCATGATCCTGGCTGCTGGAGGGATGAAGGAAGAGATCACTGCCTATTGAGACCCTATCAATGGTCTTTCTCTCTCAAAAATAAATAAACTAAATGAACTTTAAAAAAATCATCTTTTGAAAGAAGTGTATTAACTTTCTTAGCAAAGGTCAATAGTCTTTTTATTCATTTAATGCTATTTTTATTGTACTCTTGCCTAAGTAATGGTTTAACAGATTTTAGAATTCTAGATTTACTGCTATTTTTCCTAATGCTTGATATTTTTCTGGGGCCAGCAGGTAGCACAGCGGTTAAGGAGCTAGACTCCCACATGGTTGGCCACTGTACAAGCCCTAGACCTGGTGACTTAAAAATCACACGAGGCACATGTGCTTGCATGCCCAAAACCCTAAGAGGAGAAGAGTGGAGAGGGGTTTAAGGCATGGCTATTGCCCCTGAGGAGTGATTTCTCACTTCCCCTCTCTCTGTCTCTCTATCCACTCCAGTGAAAGCACATGCTCTAAGACAAAAATATTTTTTAAAAATGTATTATTCTACTGAGCTGTATCATCTATTGTTATTCATGAGAAATTAATCGTCAGTTCAGCTGTGCTCCGTTATATGTAAAGAATCTTTTAGGTCTGGCAGCTTTTTAAGATTTTTCTCTTTGTGCTTGATAATCCTCAAATTTACTGTGATAGCTTTAGGTTTAAATTCATTTGTATTTACTCGCTTAAGACTCAATATATTTCATCAAGTTGGAGACTGATATCTTTCCTCAGTTTTGGAAACCACCAACACTTTTTTACTTCAAATATTCTCTCTATTGTTGTAATCTTCTCCTTTCAGGAACCTTATTCTATCCTCAAGTCTTCTATTTTCTCTTTTTATATTTTCTGTCTCTTTTAGTCTCTGCTTATGTTCTGAGTAATTTTCTCTTGTTTATTTTTTATTTTACTAATTCTTTCTTTATCTTAATGCTTTAACTTCAGTGGATTTTTAAATACTGAAACTAAAAAGTTTATAAAGACTTTTAGAAAATGCCCCTCCAGTGAGGCATGGTCACACCACAATCTCTTCTCCTCCATTTTTCTATTCTGTTGGTATTTTAGGCACACACACACATGCACCTGGAATGCTTCTTAAGTTGTCAGATCTGGGATTTGAACCCCAGTCAGCCTATGGCATCCAGCTTCTTTTACCACTAGGCTATGGGGTCAGTCTGAGAGTAGATTTGAAATGTTCTCATTACACACAGAAAAGATGGTAACTGTTTGTGATGACAGATACGTTTATTAGCTCGACTGCAGTATTTTGTATATCAAAGCATGTGTTACATCTTAAATATATATAATTTTTACAAAAGAGGAAGAATGTTGTTTATTTTTTTGCAAACTGGGTTTAAATATTTGAAAGATTTGCAAAAAGTAAGTTGCAAAATAATATTGTTGAGTTAGGTATCAGCAAATAACTATTATAGTCAGAGAAATTATAAAAATCTAGAATGATTCTCCTTTCAGATATTTTGTAATTTTCTTTAATCTTCACTCAACTCTAAGTCAGTGGAGTCTAGGAGTCTAGATGAAGCATTATTTATAAACTATGAATAAGAAAAAACATTGGTCAATTTTAAAAATAATAACAAATGGAAATAAATATATAATTCTTTTTTTTAGAGTTTTTGTTTGTTTGTTTTTTCCTATATGGCACGTGTGCTTGCCAGAAAAACAGAGACAGAAAGCAAGAAATCATCCCCAGGGGGGATGGCCATGCTGCAATCCCTTCTCCTCCATTCTCCTCTCGGCATCTTGGGCACACACGCACTTGCACCTGGCATGAGTTTAAGACACTGGTCTGTGACTCGAACCATGGTCGAGTACATGGGAGTCTGGCAACATAGCCATTATGCCAACTGCTGGTCCCATAAGTAATTCTTTTAAAAAATGAGAAAAAAAAAAAGGAAAGAGAGAGAGAGAGAGAGAGAGAGAGAGAGAGAGAGAAAGAAAGAAAGAAAGAAAGAAAGAAAGAAAGAAAGAAAGAAAGAAAGAAAGAAAGAACGAACTGGAGGAAGGGGACCATGGCCATGACCAGATCCTGTAAAGGGCACTTCTTTCTCTTTAATTCTCATGTGCACTGTATCATGAATAAAGAAGAAATTTGATAAACTAAACAAACTTGAGTTTCAAATATGTGAAATGAGAACATTCATCTTTCTTTTTTGTATTTTGTAAATTATCTACCATTCATAGGGCTACAATTCTTCTATTTTTGCCTTCTTCCAATTCTCTCATGGTAGACTATTTTCTCGTATTTGTTTGTTTTGTTGCTGTTTGTGGCAGTCTGATGTGCCCTCAGTGCTGGAAATAATGCTGTAGAATAGCACATTTGCCTGCCATATGTTAGTTTTTCCAAACAAGCTTTTCTTTTAAATTATCTGCTTGCTTTCCTGCATCACAGGAGTAGCATGAATTCCAACCCTAGAACTAATCAGGAGTCACAATTGGGTTTCTGATCTTTTGCAGATATCTCACTTCTACTTAGGGATCTGCTAGGTTAGAAGGTAATGTGTGTGGTAATAACTTTGACTAGACTAATATACAGCGTATTCATGTTGGGAAAACTCATTTCATATGCTGAAATGCTATACAGTAATTAAATGCAAAAAAATTTT